CTTAACTATCACCGCCAACTCACCAAACATAACACACCAAATGATCAAAAATAATTACAAAAATAAATGAACACAGAGTCAGTGCCAAGTTTGGTCTTCCAGGTTTGGTCCAGGGCAAAGCCAAAAAACAGTGAATAAACAAGGGAACGCTGTCGTTTATAGAAGATCAACTTACCTTGGAGAAAGGGCAAATGTTTGGAACCGGGGTGGAGCCCATCCAAACAGCAAGCCTCAGAGAGGGGCAGTCTGTGCTCACAGAACCTGATTCTCCTGAGAGCCCAAATGTGTCATTACCCAACATTGACAGAAAGAGTCAACAGATTACTTCTTTACCTGTTTTTCATTTTCAGTATTCACATGGGTTTAAGACCCAATGTGCCAACTCCTCAACCATTAGTCACAGTCAGAAAAAGCCTAATTTCAGAAAGTCTCAAGAAAAACATAAAAAGATTTAATGGTGTTATTCCCAGGCGGGGAAGACAAGATCTTTTCTATAGTCTGGTTGGACAGGAAAAAAAGGCCCAAGATCACTAATTTAAAAAGAAAAAAATGCACAGAGATCACTGTAAGAAGCAGGTCTTGTGGAAGACAAAATATATTGTGTTTGAAGATCATTTTTATTTTAGGGAGTACCAAATAACTCACCTCACAGAGCTAGGAGACAAGATACAGCTCCACAAATATAATGATCAGGTTACTTCTAAATATTCTGTTTCAAAAGTGTATGTGACAACAGTCTCCCCTTCCTTCCCTTCCCCATCCCCCCCATCCCCCTGAACCCCACTGCTGCATGTATCTCCAAAAGATGGGACAAGTACTGTCAGTTTTCTTAGTCTTCTTGGAAATTATTTCCTTTCACCACCCTGCACAGCTATTTCCTTGACCCACAACTAAAGAAAGCCAATACATTTGTATATCAATTGTCTCACTTTTATATAATTCAGATGGTGACTTTATAAAGGTAATGGTTTGATACTCACTTAGTATTTAGTTCAGGCTTTTGAATACAACCTATGATGGTTAATGTTACACGTAGGCTACGGTGCCCAGTTATTTGGTCAAACACCAGTCTAGATGTTGCTGTGAAGGTACTTTTTAGATGTGATTAACACTGAAATCAGCAGACTTTGAATGAGGTAGATTACCCTCCAGAATGTGGGTGGGCTTCATCCAATCAGTTGAAGGCCTTAAGAGCAAAGTCTGAAGTTTCCTGAAGGACTTCTCCTCAAAACAGCAACACAGAGGCTCTGTCTGAGTTTTCAGCCTGCTGTCCTGCAGAATTCGGACTCAAGACTACAAAACCTGGGGCCGGCCCGGTGGCGCAAACGGTTAAGTGTGTGTGCTCCGCTGCGGCCACCCGGGGTTCGCCGGTTTGGATCTCGGGCCCTCACCGACGCACTGCTTGGCAGGCCATGCTGTGGTGGCATCCCATATAAAATGGAGGAAGATGGGTATGGATGTTAGCCCAGGGCCAGTCTTCCTCAGCAAAAAGAGGAGGATTGGCAGATGTTAGCTCAGGGCCAATCTTCCTCACCAAAAAAAAAAAAAAAAAAAAAAGACTACAACTCTAGCCCACTGGCCTGTCCTATAGATTTCAGACTTGCAAGCCCCTAAAATTGAGTGATCCAATTTTAATTCCTTAAAACAATTCCTCTCTCTCTCTCTCCATGTACATATATATATCCTATTGCTCCTATAGGTTTGGTTTCTCTGGAGAACCCTGACTAATACACAATCAAATTACCCTTTCTTCATACAACATCCTCGCAACCACACATCCTTTAAAATAAGCATCTAAATGGTTCTTCACTTTAGGAAAGATTTGTGTGCTACAGACGTTCTCTGTGACCACACAGGAAGATCAGGCAATGGGACCGATCCTAGGGAACTAGAACAGAGAGCTGAAAATCTCAAGGGAGAGAGTTTATCTCCCAGCGTTCACAACAAGTTTTGTTAACAAGAGTCAGTAGGTGGAATACAAGGAGAAAAGGCATCTCTCTAATGTTTTCTCAGGTTTTAAATATGTGGTTTACTGCTCTCAAAACAGTGTGGGAGCTGAGGGGGGTGTGGCTGGGTGGGGGGAGGACCAGAAGCGGATTTGCAGCTGGTGTGTCATATTGCAGATACTATCAGCCTATTTCTATGTCTGAAGACCACGTTTTTCAGGATAGTCTTGATCTGGGGTATTCTGTGCCGTGATGAGATTTGTGTCAGAAGATGTTTCCAGGTTTTTGGTTGGGAAAATATAGCCATCTTATCATACTGCTTCTGTGATTACCTTCCTGTCTCCACCATTTCCTCCACCTTATTCTTCTTGCCATTTAACTTGGCTGGCCTCTCACCCTCTTCTTTGCCTTTCTAGATTATCACCTTCCGTAAATGGCCATCTCTAATTGCACCTTTCAGGGCTACAGTATGACTTTCATGGGCCTTAGGCACTTTTGCCTTCATGGGCCCCTTCCTTCATTAAAAAAAAAAAAAAAATCTAAAAATGTATTTTACAACTGCATTGGTATAAAGACAAATATAATCCACACAGAGCGTAATCATTTTTTTCTCTTGATTTTGAAAGAAATTCAAACCTTCTCCTGGCCCCCTTAAAGTATCATGGGCCCTGAACACTCTGCCTCCTGAGCCTGCTGGATAATAAGCCATCCCTGCCTCCTCCCCAGTAAAGGCGCCCTACACAGATGCCTCTCCTCCTAACTTACTAACATTAACACACACTCTGTATACAGCGAGACTCAAATTCAAATCCTAGCTTCTTCACTTTCTAGCTATAAACCAGAGCAAGTGATTCAACCTGTCTGAACACCAGTTTCCTCCCTTGTGTAATTCTTACCTCATACAGTTGCCATGGTAATGTGAGATGGTGCAGTACAGTGCTTAGTACCTGGTCCATGGCAAATGCTCCTAGTTGGTAGCTATTATATTTAAGCGGACATCTCTCATTAACTGTCTTGATTTAAATATTATACTACTATCTACCTTTTCACTTATGTTTAACTATCTTATTAAACTGTAAACTCCTAGAGGGCTGGGAGTAAGTTCTAGACCAATGGTTCTCAAATCTGAGCATGCATCAGATTCACCCGGAGGAAGTGTTGAAACACAGATGGCTGGGCCCCACCCGGAGATCTTGATTCAGTAGGTCTGGGGTGGGGCTGGTAATTTGCATTTCTAACCAGTGCCCAGATGATGCTGAGGCTGCTGGTCTTAGAACCCCACTTAGAGAATCACTGTTTTAGACAGTGATTCCCAAAATCTAGTACAAAGGGAAACTTGAAAATACATTCAGAGTCAATTATATATGCAAAAGGTAATACAAATGCCAGTGGGAAAATCTGCCCCTCTCCACTTGTTGTGAGATAATTTCCATTACTTCAGGGGCTGAGCAGAAAGGGGTGAGCTACGAAATCTTATTGAAAGAAAAGAGGCTAGTGGCACAATTGAACACCATCATCTGTTGGATTCCAGGGGCATGTGCAAAATGCATACAAGAAGCCAAACAATAGCTCAGCCAACTCAGAGGCCGCCTGAGTTCTTAGCTCAATCTATAACAATGCCAGCAGGGCTGCTGGGATCCATCTGCTACTCTTTCTGATAACGGATCTGGGGTCTCTCTGGAAGGAAATAGCTTGACAGGAAGAAAGAAAGATTAGGCCAACTGAAAATGTCTGGATTTATGAAGCTGCACTCAAACATGGTACAGCTTTTAACTCCTTGTGTACCTTACTCACCCTCAATATACCCCTGTTATGGTTTCTGTTTTCTCTGTTCTTTTCATCAAGAATGTAATTTGTGAATGCCACAGCTCTCCTGGACGCATTCTATTTACACACAGATTAAATTCCCAGGATTTAATACTGAGGGAAGGCTTGAGATCCTCCAGCTTGACCCACTAATTTTACGGACGAGGAAACTTAAGCCTAGGATTAATCTTAAAATACGTAATCAGTAATGGGAGAGCCAGGCTGGAATCCAGATCCCTTGACTCGCAGTGGGTATGTGGCGTGTATAGTCCTTTATACTCCCCAAATGAAGAGGAAAGAGATCTTTTCTCCACTACATTTTAAAGAGGAAATATGATTTTCCCCTTCACTTAAGTTACTTTTCACAATTTGCCCTTTTTTCCTCAGAAGCAGGAGGGCTTTATCAGGGGAAATGAAGAGAAATGAACAACCCTAAGCAGTTTCTGTAGGCCCTGAAAGCTTGAGGGCAGGGGTGATATCCTGTTCCCTGCTACATGCCCACTGGCTACCCAGAAACTTGGCCCAGAGCAGATTCTCAAAAACCATATGGTGAATGAATGAATGATTGAATCATTGGTTTGATGGCTGTTTGCCAATTTTTCAGCCAATTAGGGAATGAATGTTTTACACTAAGATTTTGAGCTTGCTGTGGAGTCCCCTTATTCCTACTAGTAAGTTAGGTGCTTATACAAAAAACACCATTGCCTTTTCTGTAGGATGGGCAGTGTGTCTGCTGGAAAGTACAGGCTGTGGAGGTGGCAAAGTCTGAATCCCAGAGTGTCCCCTCTGCTCACTTAATTCTAGGCAAGCTATGGAAACTTTCTGAGCCTCAAGTCCCCTCTCCCCAAGTATGTGTAAAATAAAGATAATAATATCTGCTACTTCAGGGTTGTTGTAAGGATTTAATGAGATAATGGGTACAAACTGCCTTGCACCATGAATAAATGTTAGTGCCCTCCCTTCTCCTGTTCCAAGGGCCTGGTTAAGAGTAATACAGGTGTTGAGTAGCTGGAGTCATCGGGAGGGTAAGGATAAGACTCTGGATGGAAATTGAAGGAGGTTTTTGGCTAAAAATACACACAAATCATCATTAGCATTATGGTTACCTAGCAGCTGCTTTTACTGATGCCATGCAAGAAATACAAGCAAATTGTCTAGGTATTCTTCAGATTCCATAATCCCTCACCGTTTCTCCAGTTTCTAAATGAAATGGTATTTAGGAAAAAATAAATCTAGCTTTTTGCTTACCCGTTGGGTCTTGGTTTCCTTGTTCTGGGCTCAAGAAACTCTGTCTCCTCCTCCATTTCCGTTTCAGGGATCATGTTTTTCTGAGAAGGCTGTGGTGAAAGCATTTCCCATGCATTGTCATGGGTGACAGCCTGCAACACAACTGCATCTGGGCCAGCCTTGCCTTGGCTCTTGCTCTTCCGTGATTGGCTGCCCAGGCCAGAGACTTCCTCTAGTGCTAAAGATTCTAGAGGCTTCATTTCTCCCAGAACCTGCATTTGGGGAATTTTGCCCAAGTCGTGATCAGAGGCTGGCTCCACCGCCTTGCCAGACCATCCAGGCCCTGAGTCCTTAGCTACCGATGACGGATCTCTACCTTCACTGTGGCCCAAGACCATCCAACTCTGGTCTTGCCCAGGGCTTTCAAGAGATGATCTCTTATCATCTTTGGGAGACATTCTCTCCGCAGAATGATCTTTTCTTTCATTTAAGGAGGCAGGCTGACATGTGTCTGGGAAGCTTGCTAACTGAGTTCCTGGCAGCCCCATTTCTCCAGAACCTGTGTGAAACTCTTCTAATTCAGATGTGTCTTCTCTTGCTTCAAAGGCCTCTGGCTTTGGGGGTGAATTTTCTTCATGGTTTACAAGTATGTAATCCATGTGTAGTGCATGGTGATCTTCATTCTTCTCTGTGCACCTTTCTTCCCCGTCTTCTGGTTTTATATGTTCAGGCTCTTTGGTAGGAATTATTTTTTCTTCTAACTCTAATATTCCCTTGCTGGCACCTAGAAGTGGAAGACGAAGGTGAGAAGGGGAGAACAAGGCTTAATTAACACATTATGTGATTTGTGATCTTTGCAAATGATCTGCCTAAAAGAGAGATAATTTAAGAAATATTTTTATTTTGTAGCGCTGTTTAATTTTCTCATGCACTCTCAAGGATAGGTATTTTACAAGCAGTAGATATTACTGCTGTAATACAGGACTAGGTTAGGCATGCACTGCAAATTTAGTTAGTTCTTCTTTACCCACATTGGTAGGAAGAGAGTGCTTTACAAATGTGTTAATCGAATGAAAGCAGCAGTTTCTTAGGGGTGGAGGAATGGGATGTTTCTTACCAATTGGTGTTCCTATGTCTCCACCTGCTGGTGAGTCCGAATTATCTGTTTCTACTTCCCAGTCAATATTTGATGGAGACAACTCAACGTTGGAGTTGACTTCTTCAGGCAAAGAAACTGACTCAGGTTCTTCATGAATATGCAGCACAACCAGCTGGTGTCCAGGCGGTGTGTTTTTGGTCTCAGCGTGGTTTTCCTTGCTTCTTCGATTGGGAAGGGCAGAAAGCAATATCTCTGCTGCTTCACTCCCCAGAGACTCATCCTCTGGAGCCCCAGCTTCCTCGGTCGTTTCAACATCAAGGGCAGGCTCTGTGAGATAGGACAAGTCAAAGGGAGGTGTGTAAGGTGCCAGCGATTGCTTCAGAGCATCTTCTTCTAAGGGAGGGTCACCACCATAGACAAAGTGTTCAGGCTCTTTCATTAAATCTTCATCGATATCTTGGCCCATGACATCATATTCAAAATCACCCCACGAGGCTTCAGAGGAACAGAGATCTTGCTTCCCTGCATCCCCATCAACTGGTGTTTCGGGATTGCCTTCTGATAATGTCAATTTACTCATGTCATCTATTGTTCCGGTGGATGTGTTGAGACCCGAGGCATCGCTGAAGCTGTGGTCAAAGGCAGTTTCACTTACATCCAGACAAGTGTCCGTGGCTAGCAAAGCATCAGGAACTGTGGCAGCATTCTCAGTAGCAACAGGTTGCTCATGGTCCAACAAGGCTCCTGCATCTGTCTGACTTCCGGGAGAAAAGTCCTCTGATATCCAAGAGCTGTTGCCATCCATAGTTGGGTCTTGGTGAGTTACAAAAACACTGGTTCCCACGTTTTCAATCACTGGGATTGTTCTGTCAACAGTTTCCAAAATTGGTGCTATTTCTGGGTTGGTTCCTTTTTCTGATGCTTCCAAACTTGTATTGTTCTCACCATTTATTTCAGAAGGTTCAGGAGAACCTTTGTGAGAGTTAGGCTGAGATGAGCCATTTGTGTTTGCTTGACCACTGACTGGAGGCAGTGGAATTGCACTTTCAGAATATAGTTCTGAATTGTATGGGACAGATTCCTGCCTGGGCTCCTGACTGGATTCTTCATCCATCTTTGGCTCTGTGAGATAAAACTCACTGGCTTCCCCTTCAGGTCCCATCCTAGCACTAATGTGCTGCTCAGTCACTTGCTTTGCTTCATAGTCATGACATATATCAGGGCTGTTGGAAGCTTGAGAATTGCTGTCGTGGTCACAGTGAGTCAGTATATCAGGATTCTCGCCATCTGCTTTCAAACTGAAGGGCTGCTTAGCATCCATCCACAAGTCAGGCGAAGCTGAGACCAGTTGCCCACCCTCTTGGAAGTTACCATGTAAAATATCTGGAACAAACGCGCCGTGGGGGCCCTCACTAGGGGTAGAGCCATCCCATTCAGAACCTGACTTCTTTGTCAACTGAGTGGAAGAACTGACAGCAGGGAAATCTTCTGAGGCAATGCTTGAATTTGTCATTTCACTGGGGTATGATTTTTCTTCTTCCCACCAATCTGTATCTTGACATTCAATAATGGAAACATTAGATATAACACATCCATTTTCATCTGTGTGAGTAAATGTTGAGTCTGGCACTGTATTCGGACACTGCTCTTGGGTAGGTGTTTCAGAAGTGAGTTCGTCACCAGCAGAAGACATGAAGGTTTGCTCTCTCGAATCCTTTTCTTTAATTTGGTCCAGTATTACAAGCTGGCTAAGCTGATCAGCTTCTGGGTCAGACTGCCTTGGTTGAATGTTCCAAAGTTGCTCATGGGAATTCTCCCTATTACTATCCAGGAAGGGTGACTGATGCTTATCACTGAAAGGATTAGTATAATGTGTTTCCATGGATTCAGTGTCACTCTGAATGGGTACTCCCCAGGGACTCATGTTTTGGTATACTGAAGAATTCATCTCTAACACATCACTTGAGTTAGATAATTCCCCTTCAAATGCACATTCAATTGGTCGCCCTTCCTGCAGAGGGGCATTCCACCACTCAGTGCTCTCAGCTGGAAAGCCAAGAATTTTCAATTTCGAATAACTTTCATTCTTTGCTTCAGTTTTGGGAGATATTTGCCATAAAATATCTCCTGTCTTCCCTGTTTCTGGAGAAGATCTCGTCTCCTTATCCACTGCTGTAATCTGTATCTCAGTGTCCTTTAGTGGCGAGAAATTCCGGTGATCAGGACTACTTTGTGGATTGTCACAGAATGGGCCTGACTTACTGTCATTCTCTGCTGGTTCTGAACTGCCTACATAGGCAGAAAATTCCTCAGACTTGGCATCAGCTGTGGCCAAGAACTTATCAGATTCATTCAATGAGTCCCAAACCCCGGGTTCACTTTGAGCAACTTGGCAAGTGGCCAAATGGATCTCTTTCTCTACCAACTCTTGGTCACCTGCACTATCATCATCGGAACCTGAGCTTGTTGAAATGAACTTGGTGTCCTCCCGCTGCACAGTTTCAGCAAGGTCATGTTCATTTTTCTCCTGACGGCTAACCACTAGATTTCTTCCCTGATGGGCATCTGAATATTCAGAATATTTGCCTGTTTCAGGGCTGGATAAAGACGAAAAGGAATCACCATCTACTGAGTCATTCCAAATCTCTAAAAATCTAGGAACCTTGTGATCTAAGCTCTTTTCAAAGCTGTCCATTCTCTTTTCCTCCAGGTCCTCCATTTCGGTAACTTCTACTTGGCCAACAGTAGTAATTAATTCAGATTCTTGGTGATTCTGTTTACTCCAACCATCCTGATTCTCCTTCTGATGTTCAGTATTGGGTCCATGGTCCCAGGACGCCAATGCAGCTGAAGAATCATTTAGGTCAGGACTCGATGCACTTGAATGTGTATACTCACTAGAAATACTCTCTCTGTCATAATTTCCTGATGAACCGGCTCCTGGAGGGCTGTGTTCAGTACTCTTAACTTCAAGACTCTTTGGTATCTCAGAACTTGTGCAATTGACCTGCACATCACTGTCGACAGGGCCATTCCAAACGTCCAGGCTTTGGGGACATTCATGAGGTGGCTCTTGGTTCACTCTCTCTGGCTCCAGAATGATACCTTCTTCAGTTTTCTCAAGATCCATTTCAGGTAAAGAAACACTTTTTGTTAAATTCAGCCTACCTGAAATTTCAGTAGTTTCACCTGAATTTCTGTGACTCATGAGATGCTCTTCGCAGGTCTCTTTTGCCTGCAGGTGATTTGTGGACATCTCTGTTTGCACATCACAGGGGTCAGGATTGTAAGATCCCTTCTCGTGCTCTAAAACTTCCTGGGGTTCCTCAGTCTGAGGACTGGAAATGACTGAAAGAGAGCTGATTTTGCCTGATTCATCACAGATTTCTTGATGTTCAGATGCAACTGGGGAAGAGCATTCCTGGTCACCTTGCTCTTTTCCAGAAATCTCCAAGGCTCTGTCTACCACCTCCTTCTCACTAAGGTGCTCCCTATTGGCTGTTCTGTGGGCTTCCTCCTCACTCTCACTTTGTTCACAGCTAGGACCTCTCTGTGGATCTGAGTGTGCAAAATGCTCTGGATTCTCAAGCCTGGTTGCCAGGGATGCTGTATCGCTTGGCAGGGTTCCTCTGCATGTGTCCTGCTTGTCAGGATCAGGGGTAAGAGCTCCTAACTCACTGGTTCCAGAGGCTTCTAGCACATCTGGGATGTGACTGTCCTTAACTTTTTCTGATGAGCTGGGAGATTCAGGAGGTGATTTGCTTTGTTCTGAATCTGTAGTATACGATGGGCTTGGTAATATTATTGACATGTTGTTATCTCTCATGACAGAATCCCAAATACTGTTCGCAATTAGCTGCCCACTTTTCTCATTGAGTATTTGATATTCGTTGGCAGCAGTGTCCTTGCTGGGCTCAGAAGAGGCAGGGAGTTCCCAATCTACCTGATTTGCTTCCTGATATTCCACGCCCCACGGTTCTAGCTGTCTCACTGAAAATCGGGTTTCGGGTTCGATACTTTCAGCCATATATCCTTGTGTTTGACCTTCACCGGGGATGGCCACGCCCGCACTGCAGTCATCCCAGTCCAAATCATTATCCATATCCGAGATGGTTGCAGTGGACTGAGTGTCCTCCAGAATCACTCTGTTCCACAGGTCGAGATCATCAGTGGCTGCCTGCCGGGAGTTGGTGCTGCTGTGCAAAAGTGTGAGCTGTCGGTTTGTTTCATTGTACAGCTGCATCATGCTGGGGTCGTCGTAACTGGACAGGCTGCTTTCCCCAATGTCATCCTCCATGGAAATGTTCTTATCATCTGTGGGCTCTGTCTTGAGTAAATCTTCATCTGGGCTGTGAGTGGCATTTATTTCAGAACTATTATTTGCATGAGGTGAAGCCCACATTTCCAGGTTCCCAGGACCTGAACTAGGTCGATTTCTAGGTGGCTGCTGCGGTGACTGAGGAGGTGTTTCAGTCTCCCCTGTGGTAGAGTTAGCATCTTTTGACTCAAAACCTCCCTCTTTAGCAAATGGCTCGTTTTCAGTTTCTTTTTCATCTCCAGCAAATGTTGGTGATGTGTAAGAGTCAGAGGTGGAGTAGTTGGTATCTAAGGGGGAAGGCACTGAATCTTCCCCAATGTTGGATGTACTGTAATCAGAACATTTATATGTTAAGAAGGAATCTTCCCAAGGAGCTACAATGTCTGACCTTCCTTTCTTGACGCTCTTCTCAAAAAGGTTCCAGGAATCTACATTTTCATGCACATTTTCCCTAATTTTTGGATCCACTAAACCATTTTGATCTTCCATTGGTATCTTAGAACTATTCCATGCATGATCCAGATCAGATCTGGGATTTCCAGATACAAGCATATTATCCTTGGAGTCATGGTTCTTCTTGCCCCAGATTTCTGGAGCTGCTTCATTATCTGCCTCACTGGGTGACTTGTCCACTAGGTCTTCTGAAGGAAAAGAAAACCCACTTTTTGCCATGGCCCACTCATTCGGGTCCCTCACAGAAGGCGTCTCGCCACTCGTTGGGTGTAGATTCCAGGTATTTTTCAAAGCTTTGGCCTCATCTTCTTTACCAAATGCACTCCAGGTTGGGAATGCTGAGGCAGTAGTTGGTTCGCCATCATCCGTGGGATTTCCCCATGGCTCAGGCATCGCTGTGGGAGAGCGATCAGAACGCCACAAAGCAGCAAAGTCTTCTATCAGGTGGTTTGTTCCCTGAGGAGAAGCGTTTGGCAAATGCGACTGCTCGGTGGTCAGGTTCTGAAACTGCAAGCTATCCTCATTTTGGTCTTGAGTATTATCACCACCCAGCCCAGGCTGACCAAATTCTGACTCCCAGGGACCTGACTTTGGAAATTCAAGACTCTTGGGTTGAAATATAGAATCTGAGGCTCTCCTATCAACTGGGCTCGGCTTATGATCTTTCCATGATTCGGGGCTCTGGAAGACAGATTCCTGCTCACTGGAACTCCACGCATCTGCAATATTTTTAGAGTCAATTTCCAAACCACCCCACCAGCTGCTGCACCGTGTACGGGTCTGAGGTGGCCCTGTGTGACCTGTGTCAACTGCTTTTTGGCTCATATCTTCTGGATAGAGTAGAGCTGGTTCTTCTGTGGATGGTGAGCTTTCTACAAAGCTATTCATAGGTGTTGGTGGGACCCTCTTCCCAATATTTTTCAGCCTTTCTGGTGAAGGAGATTCATCTCCCACAAGACCTGTCAGGCTCAAATTTCTTTCAGAGTTATCCCCAGGACTTTCTTGTCTCTGGACAAACTCCTCATCAAATTCCACAAGGCTATCTTTGCCAGCCACCGACAAAAGTGAGCTGGATGAATAATTAGACATGTCCATCCCTATCCCATCGAGTCCTTTAGACTCCGTGGGGAGCTGGCCTTCTGATGAGTCACTGTTGGGAAAGAAGTCATCTGCCGGGGAGAAGTCTGCAGAATGAGAAGATGGTTGGGATTGCCCAGAAACCATGGGTGCTGGGTCAAAGTTGAAGAGGTCAAAGTGTTCACCATGTTCTCCAGACCGTGCATGCTCTTCCACTACTGCCCCTTCAGGGATGGGACTATAGGAGTCAAAGCCTGGGAGGAGGCTATGGTGAGGCCCAGTACCTTCTCCCACTGGACTGTCATCACTGAGGAAAACTGAGCTCTCCTTGGATGAACGGCTGCTCCTAATGGTGGCCAACCCGCTATCTGGGCTAACAAGGTCTACGTTGACATCCACCTGGGCCTGGTTAGAATCATTGAGATCTGGAGGGTTTTCTATGAAATTCACAGAGCTGGGCTGTGGCTCTACGTCAGAACCATACAACTCCATAATCCCAGAAGATCCCTGGGAGAGTGGGGCACTGCCTGCCACGGCTTCTGTTGAGGACGTCCGGCTGTTGGAGACCATCTCTGGACACCTTCTATTGATGACTTCCTTGACAAGGAGAACCACCTGATCGCATGTTACCGAAGGGTTCTCCAGCTGGTACACCAGGATCTCATCACAGCCACATTCAAAGGGCTCCAGCTCTAGGCAAGGGTTCTGGCACTCTTCCAGCTCACAGCAAATCTGTCAGGGAAGCAAAGGGGTTTATGTGAGCACTCAGACACTCTCTGCTCTTTGCAATTTGTCTTTCTTAATTTTTCTTAATATAAAATTAATGTGTTCATCTGTCTAAAAAGATCTCAAACTGAAAACTGTACGATGTAAAACACAGAAAGTCTCATTTATATACCACCAACTCTTTCTCCAATCCTATCAAATTGGCTTTTCATTGAACTCAAAAATCCAGCTGCTTAATTTTGTTGGCTTCTGAAAGTTACAAGTAAAGAGATTTAAAACCATTTAAATCCTTTCCTCAGTGTAATATAATACCATCTTCCAACAAGACTGAAACTCAGGTTTGCAAAGAGCACAGATAATGCTGGATGCTGTCAAGAGCTAAGGGGAAAGTGTTGGAATGAGGGGAAATGGGGCAGGAGAAAGGCTTTCGTTTAGTAGCAGGCGGCCAGGACCTGCTTTAACCTCTGCTAGCCTCATAAGGCAAAGGAGAAAGTAGGAAAGAGAAAGCAGCTACCAGAGGCAGAGATTTCCAAATAGCATTCAGACCCCAACGGTCTCTTCCTGCCCGGGGAGCACTGACGTGGAGCCCAGAACAGGCAAAGCTGACTTGGGAGGCAGGGGGATGTGTGACAGCCAGCACCAGGCCAGCACTGGCTGTAGCTCTATGATTTTTAGAAAATGTTGGGGATATTTTGCACATTGGGCCTTTGAAATGGCCCCACAGGATAGTGGAGGAGAAAACAACAACAACAACAACAACAATAATAATAGCTACAGAGCTCACATAGATAGTAATAACAATAATAAGTGAGAGTTATTGAGTGCTTTCATATGCCAGGCACAGCTCTAAGGGTTTTACATGACTTATCTCCTTTAATCCTCACAATAATTCTACAAGGTAGGGACTCTTTATCCCCACTTTGCCAATGAGGAAATGGAGACACAAGAAGGTTAAACAACTTGACCAACTAACATGTGGCTAACGAGTGATGGAGCCAAATTTTGAACTCAGGCAGCTGAGCTGCAGAGGCCAACCCTTAACTCACTGTGACCACAGGGACAAAGAGGGATTCCTCTGGAGCAGTCTCGGGGGGGGGGGGGGGGGTGGAGTTGGCTGACGTGCTTCTAACCCCTTCTTCCGCAAGTCTAGTTTTGCCTATTTTAGATTCATCAACTTTTAAATTGACTTGCTACTAAAAGCGATTTGAAAACCGCCATATGGAAGCTTAGAAGACCTAAGCTCTGTCCCTAGGAAACCAGTGACCAAAGATAAAATTCAGCTTTGAAAGCCAGTGCAGAGCAGAGCATTGGAAAAGCCCCAGGCTGGTGACGCAACGCACAGATGTAGGTGGGTCAGAAGAGAGGGTCCAACATGCACCTGCAGCAGGAGCAAGGGCTCTTTCATATTTGGACTTGAGAAAGCACAGAGGAACTGCGAGTCCCTGCAGACCCTCTCTTGAGAGCCAAGAGGGGTCTCTTGGGGGACAAAAAGTGAGGATGGAGAAAAGAAAGGAGCAGGACTTTGCCTCCCGCCACCTGCAGACAGATGAGGTTTCTAATCCATTAGTGAGGAAAGGTTAGTGACGAAGCCGTTCCGCGTCCACATTGTCCATATCATAATGAATCACGTGTGTCCTCATATTAGTTACTAAATACTCCTGGTTTTGTGTATCCAGTGCCCCATTTTGATTAATTTTGTCCACTTCTTATATTATTTCCAAAGCCATGGGTTAAAAGATTCGGCTATCAGGCCGGCCCGGTGGCGTGGCGTAGCGGTTAAGTGCGCACACTCTGCTGCTGGTGGCTCCGGTTCGGATCCTGGGCGTGCACCAACGCACCGCTTGCCAAGCCATGCTGAGGCGGCATCCCACATAAAGAGGAGGAAGATGGGCACAGATGTTAGCTCAGGGCCAGTCTTCCTCAGCAAAAAGAGGAGGATTGTCGTGGATGTTAGCTCAGGGCTGATCTTCCTCACAAAAAAATAAATTAAAAAAAAAAAAAAAAAAAGATTTGGCTATCAACCAAGAGATCTGACTGATTACCCAGTGAGAATTTTAGTACCTGGAGACAAACTAACTTTTTCTTTTTTTTTTTTTTTTTTGGGGGGAAGACCTGCCCTGAGCTAACATCTGCCAATCCCCCTCTTTTTTGCTGAGGAAGACTGGCCCTGGGCTAACATCCGTGCCCATCTTCCTCCACTTTATACGGGACACCGCCACAGCATGGCTTGACAAGCAGTGCGTCGGTGCACGCCCGGGATCCGAACCGGTGAACCCCTGGCCGCCACAGCAGAGCACGTGCACTTAACCGCTTGTGCCACCGGGCCAGCCCCAACAAACTAACTTTGATGAAAGCATCAGATCACCAGTTACTAAACACTGGGCACCAAACAGGTATTTAGACAGCAACTAAACTTTAGTTATTACCAGGTAGCAGTCCTCAAAGAAAACAGGACCCAAAGGAGGACTTGCCCTCATTTGGGTGAAAAACATATGATCTTTCTCTCTATGAATTCAGCCTAGAAGAGAAATGGTAATGGGGCTCTTTTTAAAGGCCCTATGTGGGATGAAGGGGGTCAAGAGGTACAAACTTCCAGTTATAAAATAAATAAGTCATGGGATGTAATGTACAGTGTGGTGGCTATAGTTAATAATACTGTATTGTGTATTTGACAGTTCTAAGAGAGTAGATCTTAACAGTCCTCATCACTAGAAAAAAAATTTGTAATTATATGTGGTGATGGATGTTAGCTAAATTCATTGTGATACTCATTTTGCAATATATACAAATAGTGAATCATTATGTTGTACACCTGAAACTAATATCATGTTATATGTCAATTATACCTCAGTTTAAACAAAAAAGGCTGTTTAACTCACTGCTAATTCTATTTAGGTGATTTTTTTTGTAACATAGCATCAAGACTAACAACTAAAAATCTGAATTAAAGCACTGAAAGCTAAAAATAAATAAAAAAATAAAGACCCAACATGCAAAATATCCCCAACATTTCTTAAAACTCAAACTCTAGGATCTCATCTCTTGGGCCAATTTCTTTAAGCCACTCATCTGTTCCCATCTTCCACCGCATGTTCTGAGAGCCAGCCAGTTAGGATGTGGTGAAACGTTCCGGGGTCGAGGAGGTGCTTACCTGACTGCACAGCTCCAGGTTCTCGGAGTACACAGCGATCTGTCGTCTTGGCTGCTGCTCCTCCGACAAGTAGCTGGCCAGGAGGATGAGGACATCAAAACTGAACTTGTCTGTAAATGCTTTCAAATCACTGGAGATATTGCTGTGAAACGTACAGTTCTGAAACAACAATAGGCAATTTGATATTAATGTCAAACTGCTCAGCTTTGGGGAATTGTGTCACAAATTTGTCTTCTCTTATGATGTGTTATGACAGACATTTATTATTAGATTTAGGTGAAATAAACATTTTGCTTTGAGAAAGTTTGGAAACTTTCATGCTATGGCTTAAAATATACTTTGCTTGTTTGTTTTCCTAAACCAAGGAAGGAAGGAGTCTTTGCCATCATTATTAACAATAGTTTAGATAAGGAACAAATACCTTAACATTTTTTTCCTAAAATGTTTATTCAAACACTGAATTTGTAAAACATACTTTTCCTCTTATTGTTCATGGAATGTAGGAATGTGTGCTATTATCACATCCTATCACGAGAAAAATTGTTCTTTTCTCTAATTGTTTTCTGATGATTACTATTAACTCCAAACAGAATTCCTAAGGCTGAATCTAGCTGAGTTTACTGAATGCTTCCTATTCCAGTGTAGAAGTCTGGGAGATTTGTGTAAGGGCAGTGATGTCAGCTCTGCTTGCTCTAAGTGGACCTAAGGAGGAATGAATAATTGTGGAAAGGGGACCCACTACCACAGAGTACCCAGACCTGTGGCTCACATCAGCTGTGGGAATGTGCTGGTCTTTTCGAGTTTTATTAACTGCAATGTGGACCACTTTGTCAGCATGGCTGTTTCCCCTTCTTAAAGAAATAAGTGAAGACTGTATGTTTGCCCCTAGCATAATGCCTGGCATATACTAGTTGCTCAAGAAATGTCTGTTGAATGAACTGGAGAGACATATACACAAAACCAACCTGTACTACATAATCCTCTATCTTAGCATATATATATCATAGCATCTATATATGATCTTCATATATCATCAATCCATTGACAGTCTATTGCACTACTCAGTGAAAATCACCATGATGTGCACTCAAGAGATACAAAGAATTCTACTAACTTTTTTTTCTGATTACAAAAGTCATCAGAATTATGCGTGCCACTGGTAAAATATTAAAGCAATACAGAAATGTATACCAAGGAAAGTGGAAGTGCCATGTACCCCCTCAGATAACCACTGTGAGGAGCTAAATAGTGCAGTGCATATAGGTGCAGGTTTTTCCCATGTACAGATTAACATTTGTATGTGGTAGTTCTTTGAAACTTGTGGATTTGACATTTGTGTCTTAGACTATTTACCAGTCACTTAAAAGATCCACAACACATGCACTCTGCAATTCTGCTGAGTTGAATCTCAAGGTCTATGAGGCCCCAGAGAGGGCACATGAAGCACTTGGCAGATGTGCAGGCACAGCCCATCACCAGTCCACACCTCAAAGAGCGTTTGTCATCTACTCCTGTGGCAGCCACTCTCGTTAGACACTTCATGAGGCCACTTTCACTTTTTGGTTACACGGAATTGCACATGGGAATTCACAAAGGTCCCAGGATATATTGCTGATGAATACCAAGAATCTATTTTACTGACTTGGTAACGAAATTTATGATGTTCAAATACAAGAGCTTTTGGAAACGTGTTCCAAAAAGCATACTGTCAGCTTTCATACTTTTTATTTATTGCCCAGGTGTCATAATAACAATTTTTAAATACATATTTTTTTAAAAAATAATTTTCCCACCATAGAAGCTGATATTTAGAACGAGCTTTTTAAAAATCAGACCTCATATTATACACAACGTGCATTCAGTAGACAAAATTATTTCAAATCATGATTGGTGTATCCATCAAAACCTCACTGCTCAGCTTTTTGCCATTACGAATCACAAAAGAAGACTGGTCCCGTAGGAAAATAAGAATGGACAGCAATTACCTACATCTTATCTCCAGTGACTGAAGGCTTTAGTACAAGAAACCCTACAATTTTCCTTTCAAAATATTTTTTCCATTCTGTACATAAAACTTCCCAAATATGTTTCTAAACCCTTGAAAGAAGACACAGCATTTCTAAAAGATTTTCACATATAACAATTATCAGGACACTCCAGGCTGGGTTGCTCCAACAAGAGAAGGCAGGTCTTACTGGTATCTGAGCAAAAGATGAGGATTCAGTAGACTCGGCATTATTCAAAGCCATACTTGTGGAACATTTGCTATTCAAAAATGTTGGCTGAGCTCCAATCTGTTTGGATTCTTCTGTGTTAAAATCACGGCAATAGGATCATGCTGGACTCAAGTCGGAGGCATTGGAAACACCAGGCATCTTGTTAGAAATGCTGAGTCTCAGGCCACACCCCAGACCTACTGAAGCAGCATCTGCATTTTCCACAAATTCTGGGTGATTCAAATGCACATGGAAATCTGAAATGCACTGCTCCAGGGAGGCATTTGTTAATTGATATATTTTCCTACAAACCAGTCCTTTGGATTCTCTCAATGCTGTCACCAGACTTACCGACTCACCCTCGGCTCCTTGTTCCTCACACTAGCCTTACCATAAAAACCACCCTGAGGTGCATATTTCTGGGCTGCTCTGCTAGAGTTCTCATTGGGTCCAAGAATCTGTATTTTCTTTTTCTTTTTTTTTTTTTTGTGAGGAAGATCGGCCCTGAGCTAACATCTGTTGCCAATCCTCCTCTTTTTGCTGAGGAAGACTGGCCCTGGGCTAACATCCATGCCCATCTTCCTCCACTTTATATGGGATGCCTGCCACAGCCTGGCCTGACAAGCGGTGCGTCTGTACGCACCCGGGATCTGAACCAGCGGACCCCGGGCCACTGCAGCGGAGTGCTCGCACTTAACCGCTTGTGCCACCAGGCCACCCCGAGAATCTGTATTTTCATTATGTACCTCAAGTGATTCTTAGGATCAAGCTCCGTTGCGTAACACTCTCCCAGTTTTCTTCTGGGTGACCCCAAATTCCATAGGATCAAATGAAGTATTCATAAAACAAAGTCTTACGTGAATCACTTTGGCATGTTAGTGAAACAAAATGCTTACATCTTATAGTGACCCCAAAACAGAGATCGTCAACAACTATGTCCTATTTGCCCTAATAAAATTGTTCAAACCAGATTCCATCTTATTGGCTTTAGGAGTTTCATGTTTAAAACAGAATCAGACAAGGCAATGAGTAAGAATCTTCAGGAATCCGGGAGGCAGAGTCTGTTTGTTCTGCTTTTATGCCGGTGCTGTTTGCATAGGAGATAATTTATTATTGTCTTCTAGCTAGGCAGGGAGCCATGTGCCGTGACTGCTCTTATGTTGCTGACAAGCTAGGCTGGTCCTGAATAAACAGCACTTCATCATCAACACAACCCAACTGTAGATACAGGTTGGCACTTTATTCCCCCCATCTGCCTTCTACCTGATAAATTACTGTTTTAGTTACATGTATACAAATACTATTTGTTAGTCTGCTCAAATGTCTTCAAGATGTTTCCCCCACCTTCAGTTAAAATTATACACATATACATATATATATCTATATCTCCCGCTCAATTTGCCAAAGGTTTACAAAATAAAGGGATCCTACTTCAATTCACCACCCTCACCCCCATCATACAAGCCTCCACATTTGAAATATGACCTTAGTCTGAGAACGCTGCATGGAATTTAGGGAGTTACTTCACTAATCATCATAACTGGAAATTGACTGGCAAAAACCCAGACTATTCCCATCAGTTAGGAAGAATGGGAATTGCTCCTTGACACAGCCTTTTGTCACTCATGGTACCAAAGATTCAATCATTAAACATTTTTAGAGGTCACGAGTTCCTTTTGCTGGAGTAATTCCTAGTTTTGGAATGAGTAGGAAGGCCTAGAAATAGGGGGAGAAAAAGCCTTTGTTATGTCCTGGCCAAAAGCTAAGGTGTAAATCTCAAGGGCGCTAAAAAGAGGCTGAGGATCATGATGACAAAGGGCAGAAAACAGAAATGATATGACTCCACTTGAACTAATGTAAGAACGAGGTAGTGACAGGGATGGTGTCTTATAGATTTACTACATTTGTGGTTGAAAGTGCGTGGACAAATGCAGCAGAAAATTCCATTCTCTCACAAAATCCTATTTTAGTTCTTACTCCATTGCTCTGAAAAATTTAGTCTTTATGCTATATGCTGATAGCTTCAGGCCATCACATGAAATAAAAGTGATCTAAATAATGTCTTGTAAACATTTGAATACTTAAATGTGGATACTCCTTGAGAGAGGAAAACCCATTCTTCTTACATTGCTCACATATTCTTATCTTCTATTGTCTTCTGAATTGCTCCTGTCAGGTTTCCGCCCCCATTGGTCCACTGAAACTGCTCTTCTCAAAAGTACCAATCACTTCCAGGTTGCCAAATCCAAAACTCACTTCCCTCTTCTTACTCTATTCAGCCTCTCTGAAGAATTCCAGGACGTTGACCCTCCCTCCTTCTTGAAACACGTAATTCCTTCACTTTCCTGACATTACACTCTGCTGGTTTTTCTCCCAACTCACTGGCTACTCCTCAGTCACCTTTGCTGGTTCCTCTTCCTTACTCTACCTCTAAATGTTCATTGCCTCAGACTTTGTTTCCAAACCCCTTTCTCTTCTTTATGTACACATTCTCCTTGGTGATCTCATCCAGTCACATGGCTTTCAAACAATCTACTTGCCAGAGACAACCAAATCCACATCCATCTGAACTCTAACCTTGTCTATCCAATGATATTTCCACGTAAATGTCTAATAAGCATCTCAGATACAATACAACCTACCTCTCCACCAGTTTCCTCCACATCATTAAATGGCTCCACCATCCACTCAGTTACTCAAGCCATCATTCCATCTAGGAATTATTCTTGATTCCTTTCTTTCCTCATTCCTCACAAAATCTATCAGCAAATCCTATTAACTTTACCTCTGAAACATATCTCAAGTCCAAACACTTCTGTGTCTCCTCTCCATCTCTACTGCTGTCTAGGCCACCGTCACCATCATCTCTTGCCTGAACTTTGGTGACAGCCTCCCAACTGGTCTTCCTGCAGCGCTCTTATCTCCCTATGATCCGTTCTC